GGTTAACACTTTTTTGATGTTTTCTTTAAGGGTTCTTTTCCCCACCTTGAAGTCAGAAAGATATTAATCTATATTTTCTTCTAACAGTATTGAAGTTGTGCTTTTGACATGTAAACACTTAATTCATCTAGAGCTGATTCTTGTTTTTAGGGTTTTCTAGGTTTTTGTTTGTTTGTTTGTTTGTTTTTTAGATTTTTGGCCACTCCGCAAGGCATGTGGGGTCTTAGTTCCCCAATCGGAGACTGAACTTGCGTCCCCTGCAGTGGAATCCCAAGTTTTAACCACTGGACCACCAGGGAAGTCCCTAGAGCTGATTCTCGAGTCCACTGTAAGGCAGAGATTCAGTGGACTTCTCACATGTGTCACCTGCTCCACACGGTCCCTCCCCTTCCTTGGTCTGCCAGCTTCCACTGTCACATACCAGAGTCCCACATATGCCTTCTCCTGTTTCCAGGCTCTCTTTCCCATTCCTTTGGTCAGTTTGTTTATCCCAGTGACAAATCTCCAAACACGTGGGGATTTTTAAACTACATTTTTGGTTATTACTAGCTCCACTTCATCAAGTTCAAAGAATAGGGTCTAATAGCAATTCTTTGCAAATATTTTTTTTGAAGCTTGCTTTCTAATCTAGTCTACTGTCAGTTTTTAAAAATAGCCCTTAAGTGCTTAAGGAGAATCTGATTATGGGAGACAAAATTCAATTAATGTCCATTACATCAAATCTGTTTCTTATATATTCAGATCTGCTGTTTCTTGGCTAGTTTGTTCAGCTTTGCCATCTGCAATTAAGAGAAGCATCTGAGGGACTTCCCTGATGGTCCAGTGGCTAAGACTCCGTATTCCCAATGCCGGGGATCCCAGTTCGATCCCTGGTTAGGGAATTAGATCCCACATGCTCCAACTAAGACCCAACACAGCCAAATAAAATAATAATTTTTTTTTAATAAAAGAGAGAGAGAAGCATTTGAAACATCCCATGTTGCTGGAGGATTTGTCAGCTTCTCCCTAGTTAATCAATTTTTAAAAGTCAGATTGGTTGAAGTAAACTTGCAGATGATAAAATTCACTTTTTACATGATATGGATATCCATAACTACTGTCATGAGGGAAGGGCAAAGGCTATGGAGCCAAGAGAAGGCCCCATCCTAGCTTTTGAGGTAGGCGATAGATGGGGCCCCTGGGCTGGACAGCTGGTGTTTGTCAAGTGGAGTAAAACTGAAGGTTTGTTCTCACCCAGACACTCCAAGGACAAAGCTAGTTGCAAAAGCTGAGCTCTGCTAAAGTAAAGAGATAAGCTGCCTGCTCCTGAGGTCAGGAAAACTTTCCTATCTGCACACGTGCATGTATGTAATGTCCAGGATGGACATTGGGGAGCAGGAAGGAGCAGGAAGGCTCCTTGGCGGTCAAAAAGGGAAGGGGCACCCTCCATAATAAGCATGGAATGCACCCACAGGCCTCTGCTGTAGGATCCATCTTAGCAAATAGTTGCACATGCATCTTGGGGAGGGTGCTAGGACCAGTCAGGTATAAAGAAAAAATGAGATAACTGGCCAAATGTAAACAAAAACCCAGAGGGACTGTCCTATAGAAGTGATCTGAATCGCCTCTTTACCACGTCCCATTCAGGATGCCAGCACTCCTCTCCAGGTATGTATCTCTGCCTGGCTTCTGTCTTAAATAAACAAACTGCTTCTGTGTGCATTCCCACACCTTATGCTGTGTCTTGAATAATAAACTTTGTACCTGTTTTTACAGTTTTTGTCTCCTTGAAACATTCTTGCTTTCAAATGGGAGGAAAGAGCCAGGTCACTTTGCTTCTCACCTCCACCCCTGGGGACTAGGATTCCTGGTTTTCATCCAGGGTTACCCAGGTTCGATTCCTGGACAGGGAACTAAGATCTCTCTTCAGGACCGCTCACTGCTATCTCTCCAAAATCAGCTTTACCGGTCAAGAGCAGCTTTCTGGTCCAGACGGAGAAATCAGGAGAGGCTGCCAGACTGAGGTCATTAGGGTGTGTTGTCATCTTTCTGCAAATGAAAGACCTGAGGGACAGTGTTCCTGGAAGCTTGTACAAGGCCTGGAGGTGAGAAAGGACCTGTTCAGAGAACGTGAAGTGGTTGAGTATGGCAGGAACAAGGAGGACAAGGAAGAAATGGTGGAAGAAGGGTGGGAGATGTGAGCATAAGTCAGACCCCCAGGGCCTTTTGAGCTCCAATGGGAAGTTTGACTACGAGGAGGGGAAGGGTATGGAAGGGTGTCAGCAGAGAACATGGGCAGCTTACAGGATGAAAAAATTCCCTCTGCTTTGGAGTAAAGCTCAGACTGCGAGTGGGAAGCCAGGGAGGGCTGTGGAGAGGAGGATGGAGGCCAGGTCTGGACCACGGTTGATGGGAGGGGCACCAGAAGGCAGAGCCCTTGAGCATCCTGGTGGCAACCTTGATTGACAAAGGGAGCCCGGGGAGAGAAGCCCTGAGTGGAGGTCAGGACTCACCCAGGGGGCAGAGGGTTCCCCAGTTGGCACACAGTGGATCGATGTGAAGGGTAAAGACTGCACGCCCCAGACCCCCGCGCCAGTGCTCCTTCCTAACAACATAAACTAAGCCTGTGTGCCCCACTGCTGAGCCCCCACGCAACAACTAACTACTGAAGCCCAAGAGCTCTAGAGCCCGTGCTCCGCAGCAAAGGTCACCACAGTGAGAAGCCCACGCACCACAACTAGTACTAGTGCATTGCAAATAGTGTGCACAGTAATGAAGATCCAGAGCAGCCAAAAAGTATATTAAAAAAAAAAAGTGTGTTGCCAGGCTTAGCAAAAGAACTAAAGAAAAAATAAGCAGATGGAGATCAATAGGATGAAATTTGAATTTCAGATAAACAGTGAACTTTTTCTGTATCTGTCCCCCAAATCAAGCATCTTGTGTTTTATTGGGCAACCCTCATTCACCACTCCTCCCCGCATACACACTATGCCTTTCTGAAAAACAGCAGCAAATCATCACAGAAACTGCTAGTCTGTGGCCTTCCTGGCATCGACTTGGCATCCCTCACTAGGTGCCTCCTCGGAGTCTCTGGCCCTGGGCAGTGGCCCTGCCCAGACACCACCCACTCCATCTTCCTAAGTCTGGAAGCCCCTGAGAGCTGGCCCTGGTGTGGAGTCCGGGCAAGGCCAGGACCCTGCTGGGAGTGAGAGGTGGACACAGAGGCTCCCTCATCCCTGCCCCCACACCCAGCTGGGGCATTTCCAGGAAGTGGTCCCTACCCAGAGCCTGAACCCCAACCGGGCTCAGGGCCACATGCCTGGGGCTGTTTCCTAGAATTACTAGCCCCATTCTGTGTCACTGTGGCCACATCCTCCGCTGGGCAGCCCAGGCTTGGTAGGATCTAACAGGCCAGGTCCGGGCTGGGATGGGGGGGAGCTCCCAGGCAAGGCCCTGCTTTACTGGTCTGCGGAGTCAGCCTGGGACACCGCTCCCTGGAGCTGCCCAAGAGTGGGGCCGGAGATTCCCATGATCCTCGGCACCCTCATTGGAATGGGGGCCCATCCCAAGGCCTGGGGAGCCTGGTACAAGCCAGGGCTGGCCAAACCAGGGGAGCTCGGATGGGGGCTCACATCATCCTGACAGAGGCAGGGGGACACTCTGCCTGGAGTCAGAGTGGGAAAGAGATCTTCTCTGTGGGAAAACTGGAGAGATTTCATGGGAGACACGATAACTGAGCTGCTGAGAATTCACCAGATCAGAGAATTGGGGAACGGAGGGGTAGGGTGATCGGTGGCGATGGCCTGGAGGCTGTACTGTACCACATGAAGAATGCTCCTAAAATGACCAAAGGCCAGCAAGGCTGGGGCAGAGGCAGCTCTGGGGAAAGTGGCAAAGCCAAGGGACACAGAATGTGCCCAGAGAGGAGCTGGACCTGTGAGGACGAGCAGACCTGGACCTTAGGTGGATCAGCCTCTGAAACTCAGGTGGCACTGCTAACAATAATAACAAAATATGAATGATGGCAGTAACCATTTACTGAGCACTTACTTACCCTCTGCTAAGCCTCTTTATATGGGTTATTTTATTTAACCTTCTAAGTAGGTGTGACTATTACCCCTATCTTACAGAAGGGAAAACTCGGGCACAGACAGATGGAATGGTTTGTCCATGGTCGCACAGCCAACAAATGACAGGCCTGGCACTTGAGCCCAGCCCGTCTAGCCCTGGAATTAAACCACTCGCCACCTCATGAAAGGCTATTCATATAAGAAATGAACAGAGGGCAGAGGGTCCCCCTGGGAGAAAAGGGATCTGGCTCCAATTCCCGCCCTGTGATGTTCAAAGTCATCAAAATCTGTCTGATGGCCTGGAGCCAGTCCCTGAGAACTATCCCAGCCCACTGCTCTAGTGCAAGATGCCCAGAGCACAAGACACCGAGAGCCAGAGCGGGCGGCTGTGTTGGGAAAGAGAAATGGCCATGTAGGCAGGGTGGCATTCCCCCTGCTGGTCACTCAGCACGCACAGTCCTGGAGGCAGGGCCTCTCCATCTGGTTTGTCCTGTCCACAGACAAGCGACCACAGCATCTCCAGACGTGGTTTTGGACCCAATGGCTTCCGATGTGGGGGCCAACATCGCCCCCTGGTGGGAAGTCTGGGAAATGCGCTGGCTTCAGGAGTGGTCTATTCACGCGATCTGCTAGGACAGGTCAAGGGCAATGGTGATTCTCTACAACAGTGATGGCTAACATAGCAAATAAGAAGAAAACAAGAATGTGCAGCATGACAAAAGACTTGCAGAATTTATACCAATTTATAAATACTGTAGGTGCCTCCCAGCTCCAAGAGAACAGACCAACAAATCTGAGATTTAGAACACACATCCTCACACCTTACCAGGGGAAATTCAAACCCGCCCAGTCATCAAAATGCCTGGCCACTGGAGCTCAGATGGAGGGGAATGAGGCACTCCCCTCCCACCTCCAGGAAGTCCTATGGCCTCAGTCACTAGTCTAAATGGCCTATAGGGGTCTGGGGAGCCCTGGAGGAGGAGCCTCTGGGAAGGACAGGATTTTCTGATCTTTGGGAAAGGTGGGCTTGGAGTTAGTCCTCATAATCTGGGAGCAAAAGGAAAAGAAACTTTGGACATAGGCTGATGAGGTCTCAGACACTAGGTGGGTCTCTAAGCACTGGGTTGGGGACCCCCGGCCTGGGATGACCCTCTCCCCAAGGAAGGAAGCAGGGCCCAGCAGGCCTTTCCAGGACAGGCTGGTCAAGACCCTGCCCCCAGCTGCCCTCGGCCAGCTGCCCCATTCCACTATGACCTCTTCCTCCCTGGTCTCATTCAATCTGCATAGAGCTCTGGGATAGGCCAAGACCAGAGCCATCTGTCCCAATGTCACAGATGGTCAGTGAGGGTCAGTGAGAAATGACAGGTCCAAGGTCAGACAGTGAGACTCAGAGCCAGAAGCTGAAACATGACCTTTTGACTCCACAACCAGTGCTCTGGTCACAGGCTTGGCCAGCTGGGCCCAGGCACCAGGGATGAGTTGGCTGCCCCCAGGTGGGGTTGACCTGGCATTCGGAGCATAATGCCAGAGGAGGTAGAGCAACATGCTGCCCTCTGGGCCTGGGGAAGCCATGGAGGTGGAAAAGGCCCCCAGGAGGTGACAGTGGCCTCTGGCCTCCAGCAGCTGGCCTGCCATCTTCTCTTCTGCAGGCACCCAGAGAGGCTGGGAGCTCCGGGCCAGAAAGTCCAGGTAGTCCAGACTACTGCATCATCTGGGAGGAGGTGAACACCTCCATCTCTGCCTCGGCCTCTGCCTCTGAGCGGCACCTCTGAGAGCAGAACCACAGGAAGAGGAAGAAACCTGCAAGGAAAAAACTGATCAGTGGGAGTGTCACGGAGCAACATAGGGCCTCCCCCCAAACCCAGGCACCTTCTGGGTCTGGGTGAGTTGGGCCTCCCTGAGGCCCAGGAGTAATTCTCTGAAGCCCTCACTGTAGGAAGTCAAAAGGGATGGAGCGTAGGAGCTGGAAGACCAGCCTGCACAAGCCCATAGGTTGCCTTTGTGCAAATTACAAGGTGGCGCCCCCTTCCTGTGGGCTGGTGTAGCCCCAAACCAGACTGTCAGGGGCCAAATTTCAGCCCCCTCGACCTGGAGCCCTTGAGCAGTAGACAGTACCTGCTGTCCACGATCCACCACCCCCCCAAGGGTTTCCTCCACGCCATCCACAGGCCCTACCGTAGAGCGAGTTGAAGATGGTGAAGAGGAAGAGCTGGGGCAGCAGGAAGACGCTGAAGGAGAAGAAGGCCAAGGCCCAGGTGGTGCCCAGCAGCACCGTGAGGCCCAGCACGGTGACGGTGTCCCGGCAGGCCCGGGCGCCCGGCGCCTTCTCCCGCGCCCGCAGCTTGTTGAGGACCCTCAGCGCCCAGGCCAGCACCACCAGGTTGAAAAGGGACGTGAGGCCACCATAGCCCATGACCAGGACACGGTGCACCCAGGAGTTCTGCACCCAGCATCTGCAGAGGAGGGGTAAGCGCCGGGATGGGTATGGCTCCCAAGGCCTGAGGCAGGAAGCCACGGTCTCCCAGGCCTCGGACTGTCTCCTGAATCCTGTCCCCATCATTTCTTGCCTGACCGCACACATGGCAAAATCCTGAACCTGGCTTTCCAGCCAGGCTACAGGGGGTGGGGGTGGGGGACTGGGTAAAAAATGGGTGAAGTGGGTCAAAGGTACAAACTTCCATTTATAAAATAAATAAGTCTTGGGGATCTAATGTACAGTATGATGACTACCATTAATAATACTGCATTGCAGGGGAATTCCCTGGCGGTCCAGCCATTAAGGGTCTTTCTTGGAAAAGACCCTGATGCTAGGAAAGATTGAGGGCAGAAGGAGAAGGGGGTGACAGAGGATGAGATGGTTGAGTGGCATCATTGACTCAATGGACATGAGTCTGAGCAAACTCCCAGAGATAGTGAAGGACAGGGAAGCCTGGCATGCCACAGTCCATGGGGTCGCAAAGAGCCGGACATGACTGAGCAACTGAACAACAATAACCACCAGCGGTTAAGACGCCACGCTTCCACTGCAGGGAGCACAGGTTCAATCCCTGGTCCGTGAACTAAGATCCCACGTGCTGTGAAGTGCGGCCAAAAAGTTTAAAATAAAATAAAATAAAAATAAATAATAATACTGCATTGCATATTTGAAAGTTGCTAAGAGAGTAGAGTTCTCACCACAAGAAAAATAAATTCTATAACTATGTATGGTGATGGATGTTAACTACATGTATTGCAATGGTCATTTTGCAATATATATATAAATATCAAATCATTATGCTGTGTACCTGTAATTAATATAGTGTTATACGTCAAGTGTTATCTGGGCTTCCCTGATAGCTCAGTTGGTAAAGAATCTGCCTGCAATGCAGGAGACTCCGGTTCAATTCCTGGGTCAGGAAGATCCACTGGAGAAGGGATAGGCTACCTACTCCAGTATTCTTGGGCTTCCCTTGTAGTTCAGCTGGTAAAGAATCCACCCGCATGTGGGAGACCTGGGTTTGATCCCTGGGTTGGGAAGATCCCCTGGCGAAGGGAAAGACTAACCACTCCAGTATTCTGGCCTGGAGAATTACATGGACTTTATAGTCCATGGTTGTAGCAGAGTTGGACACAACTGAGTGACTTTCACTTTCACTATATGTCAATCATACTTCAACTTAAAAAATAAAACATGTAAAAAGATTTTGTGAAGCATACATACATATGTAGTAAGGGTTTTTTAAAGGCAAGTGAATGAAAGTCACAGAATCCAGGGTGAGAGAAGATAGGGAGAGGTGAGGAAGACTCAGGAGAAGCCAGTTCTTACTGGGCTGGGAGGTGGGGTGCTCACTAACACCTCTGCATTGACCCACTTCCTGTCCTAGGGAAGTGTCACTTCAGTTATTTCACCCGTGTCAGCAAATTATATGATAAAAACATACATTCAAAGAGTCCTAAGTCACACTTCCTCAGAGAAACCACCCGACCCTCACAGTGAGAAGAATTAACCTCAACTCAGCCCCACTCTCAAAAGTCATCTCCAACACCACAGTTCAAAAGCATCAATTCTTCGGCGCTCAGCTTTCTTTTTTTTGAACTGTGGTATTGGAGAAGACTCTTGAGAGTCCCTTGGACTGCAAGGAGATCCAACCAGTCTATCCTAAAGGAAATCAGTCCTGAATATTCATTGGAAGGACTGATGCTGAAGCTCCAATACTTTGGCCACCTGATGTGAAGAACTGACTCATTGGAAAAGACCCCGAAGCTGTGAACAAATGAAGGCAGGAGAAGGGACAACAGAGGATGAGATGGTTGGATGGCATCACCGACACGATGGACATGAGTTTGAGTCCACTCCAGGAGTTGGTGATGGACAGGGAGGCCTGGCGTGCTGCAGTCCATGGGACCACAAAGACTCGGACACGACTGAGCGACTGAACTGAATTGAACAGCTCCACCCGGTGCCCAGAACCCTCACTTCCCAGAGGCCGGGGTGGGCAGAGGTTGGGAACTAGGGAGTTAGCCTGCCTGTGACCAAGTCCCACCTCTGCCTGCCCCCACTGGGTCTCTTTGGGCAGGGCTCCTCAGCTGCCTGTGCCTCGGTTTCCCTGACAGTAAACAAGGGCTGATAATAGGACCCGCTCCCGCTGTGAGGATCAGTCAGCCCTCAGCAGGCCTGAGCTGATCTCAGTCAGGAGAGGGGAAAAGGCCACACGGCCATCTGCTGGTGATGGGTCTACAGGGGGTTATTAAGCTGTTCCTTCTATGTCGCCTGTTAGAAACATTTCATCACAAGGGAAAGATTAATGTCCTAGGGCAAAGGAAGGAGGGGCAGAGTCTGTCCCTCAGAGCCCCCCAGAGACCCCCTCCCCCCGCACACACACGCTGTGCCCGGCCCCTGGGGTGTTCCAACCCCCACAACACTCTCTTCTCGGGCCAGGAGCGTTTGGGGGCTGGCAGTGCCATCCTACGCACAGGTCGTGGGTGGGGGGCGAGCCAAAAGAGTGAGCGAAGCAAGGTGATGAGGAGAAAGGAGAGTTGGGCACTAGCTGGGCTCCACCGCAGAGCCTGAGAGCCGGAGCAGGTCTGGCCGACAGCTGCCACGAGGTAGGTGCTTCCTAAAGTTAGCCGGCGGCGCGGCGATGTAATAACTCATCCAGCGGGAGACCTTGGGGATCCAGCGGAAGGGCGTGGCAAAGCCCCCTGGAAACCACGCCCTCTGGAAGCCGCAGCCCCCTCCCGACCCGCCGCCAGCGCCCCGCCCACAGGACGCCCCATCTAGAGCTCCAGGACCCAGTGACCCCGCTGCCAGAGCCGGGGAGCCTGCCGCAGCCTTGGGCACACTCACATGGACGTGTTCTTGAAGATCGTGCTGTTTCCCTGGCTGTCGGAGAGTTGGATCTTGCAGGGTCCGTAAACAGAGCTCTTGACGGCAAGAAGGAGCAGCACTAGGAAGACCGGGACCCCTGAGGAGTGGGACAGAGGCTCAGAGTCTTGTCAGGAGATCCCAGAGATGAGCTGCTACAACAGTTCTACTGGGCAAGTAGTGGGGAAGGAAAGAGACTGCTCTGAGCCCCCAGGGGCTGTCAGTGTGGTCCAGACTCAGAGGAATTAGCCAGCCTAGTGGTCTTAGAGAAGGCTATCTTCCCAGGTAGTGCAGTGGTTAAGAATCTGTCTGCCAATGCAGGTGACATGGGTTCGATCCCCGGGTCGGGAGGATCCCATCGAGAAGCAAATGGCAACCCACTCTAGTATCCTTGCCTGGGAAATCCCATGGACAGAGGAGCCTGGTGGGCTATAGTACATGGAGTCGCAAAAGAGTCGGACACAACTGAGCACCCATGCTCGCACACACACTTAGAGAAGGCTGATATGAGTGAGGGCTCTAGGGTGGGATTATAGCTGTAGCGGTAGTGGTCCTGCTGGGAGGCTGTGGCTGGGAGGTAATCGGAGAGAGGATTTGGGAACTGGTGAGGAAACATAATAGAGAGGCTAGGGATGCTGATGACAGTGGTACCAGAGATGGTGGTGACCACAAGGATGAGGATGGTGGTCATGATGGAGGTGGAGGCAACAGCGGAGGTGACTGATGATGGTGCGGGAGATGGTAATGAGAATATTTTCTGGAGGTGGAAGTGGTGGTAAGAATAGTCATGTAGGAAGTGGTGGTGGGTGTTGGCAGGGATGGTGTCCATGGTGACCATGGTCATGGCAATGGAGGAAAAAGAAAAGGACAGAGGGGACAGACACCCAAGACCTGCGGGAAGCCTCAGGAAGCAAGAGGGCAGGGAGACCGTGCTTACCCCAGCCCACGGCACAGAGCTTGAGCACGTATCGGCGGATGTAGATGTTGTAGACGCGCCCGAGTAAGAGGTAGAGGTTGAAGCCTTCAATGGACATCCAGGTGAGGCAGCTGAGCAGCGCGAAGTGCAGGGTAGCGGCCAGCATCACGCATGCTGCCCCGGGCACTGGGGGCGTGGCCAGCACAGGGCTCAGCAGGAAGGCGATGTTGAGGAGCAGCACGGAGGTGTGCAGGTTCAAGTGGATGAGTGTTACGGAGTCACTCTGCTTCCTGCGGGTGGGAGCATGGCCTTCCGCGACCTGGATGTCACCAGGCAGCGCCGCCCCCTGGGCTCATAGACACAGAATGACCGGGACACAGGTCAAGAGGGGCAGGAACCCAACAGCAGCCACATACAATGAGGCTGGTCTCCTGCCTCCACCCCTCCCCCACCCCGCCTTCTGCCTTCCGGGAAAGCCCACCTGACTCTCGCGGGGCCAAGTAGAAAAGAAGGAGGCATTCTGGGCAGCAGTGGGTGGGCAGGCCCAGCATGAGGGCAGGGGAATACCTGGCCTGGAGGTGCAACAAGACAGTGAGCAGCGAGGCCACGATGGAGATGCTGCAACCCACCAGGGAGATGTAGGTGAGAGGGGCCAGCAACTCTGCAGGGATAGGGGCCTGGGAGAGTTGCTGTGGGGGAAAAGGCAGGGGCAGAAGCATGGAAATGCCCTCCCTTGCCTGAATCAAAGACCTGCCAAGATCTCAGCTCCAAGCCCCCGGCCCCTACAATGCCCATCAGCAATCCTGACCTGATTGCCTGACCTGTCAGCCATGGCAGACACAGTGGCTTTTCTGTCTCTCAACTCCCATCTCTCCTTCCTCCCCACCTTCACTCTCTTAGGCACTGGGGTGGAGGCGCACCAGGCCTGGCCTATCAGAGCCCTCCCTCCTTCTGCCCACAGTGATTGGTTAAGGGATGGGCATGTGACACACTCTAGGCCTATGGGGCTCAGCCCCAAGATTTTGGCCGGCAGAATTTGTAAGAAACCTGAAGCCTAGTAGGACGTACAACAGGAAACACTAGCAGCCATATTATTATTCCGTGGGGAGAGCCTATCTGAGAACTAAGCTAGCACAAAGCAAGCACAGTGGAGAGACTGAGATAGGGACATGTCTCAGTAATATTGAGTCCCTGGATCAAGCCATGCCTGAAACTTAATCCAACCTTTTAGGAACATGAACTCATAGTTTCTTTTTTCTTACCCCCGCTTAAGTCCCTTTGAGTTGGATTTCTGTCCCTTGCACCAACTTTTACCTTTCTGCTCTGTCCTAGGTATGGGGCCCTCTGCAGCTCTGACCACCCTCATCCAGACTGGACGCATACATACCATAAGAACAGCAAAGTAGGTGAGGTGGTTGCAGCGACAGAGCACCTGGGAAGGTGAGGGCCGCTGTGTGTGACAGCCCTCGGGGCTCCAGGCCCCCCAGTAACTCTCGTTGGTGCTCTCCTTCCAGAAGACACAGGTCACTGTGTAGCCTTCCTAAGGGGAAATGCTGGAGTTGGGTGCATCCAAGGGGTGGAGGGGAACGCCATGGATCAGGGTCTGGAAATTGTGGGAGCCAAACATGACTCAGCTGCACCCTTGTCAACATTTTACCAGGCACCAGGTGTGCTTTGGCATCAGACAGACCCAGACCCCAGCCCCACTTCCACCATGGACTCTGAGAGAGACCTGGGAAAATCACAGAGGGTCTCTGAGCCTCAGTTTATTCATCTGCAAAATGGGACCATTTATACTCAAGATATGGGCTTCCCAGGTGGTGTTAGTGGCTAATGCAGGAGACATAAAAGATGCAGGTTCAAACCCTGGGTCAGGAAGATCCCCTAGAAGTGAGCATGGCAACCCACTCCAGTATTCTTGCCTGGAAAATCCCACGGACAGAGGAACTTGGCAGGCTACAGTCCACAGAGTCACAAAGAGTCGGACGTGACTGAAGCAACTTAGCATGCATATTCAAGTTACATAGACGGTGCAGTCATCAAAGACAATGAGGAATCTTGAGTACCCAGCTCTGGCCAGTACAGCAGGTGCTCTTGTGAAATGTGAAACCCAAACGACTCCATTTTAGGATAGCACCGCCATTTTGAGTAAAACCCCCTCCCGAGGAGAGAAAATGAAATTTAAAGAGAAAGAAACTCAACGAGCCAATCAGGGGAGGACAGGAAAGTCCCTCACCCCCGCTTACTCTAACCCACCAATCAGTAGCTAACAAGACACCCTTAGTTGAATTAACCAATCCCCTTAAGCTTCCCTTCCCGCTTCCCCTGCTGCACAGTATGAATTAACCAATCCCCGTAAGCTTCGCTTCCCGCGTCCCCGGCTATGCAGTATAAAAATGATTCGCCGCTTTCTCTGGGGGCTCCTTCGCCGTTGTGTGAAGAGTCCCTGCTCAAGCTTGTAATAAAGTTCCTCACTGTTTTTGCATCGATCCGCGGCTCCTGTGGTGTTTGGTGGGATTCCGCGATCCCGGTACAACACTCTATGATCAACTGTCCCATTTCCCCTCCCCATAGGGAACAATGATGGTCCAGACCCATCCCAGTGAGGGAGAGAGTCATCCACAGACAACCCTGATGCCAAGCTGTGTGGTTGGAGAGGTGAGGGAAATGAAACAGGCATGCCATGGAAAGCCACAGAGAGAGGGGTGGCGGAGTCTTGAGAAGGGAAGGGACACTGGGGGACTGAGGACACATCAGGTTTTCTCTAAGTGGAGCAAGGACATACCAGGTGGAGGGAACTGCAGGGGCTAAAGCTCAAAGAATGAAATGAAATGATGATGGAGAAATTGAGAGTGCAGAGCAGTTCTGATGAGACTGAGTGAAGATAGGGCCAGAGTGTAGAAGCTCTGGGCTTTTCAAGAATGCCATCAGGGCTTGTGCCCACCCAGCAGCCTGCCTTCCTTCTTTTGGCATCAACATCTGTACTTTCCTTGAGGACCCAACTCTCTCCCAATGACAGGTCATATAAATCCATCCCAGTCCCTGGGCCATGTGACCACAGCCTGGCCAGTCCACATGTTCCATCCCCCTGGGAACAGTGATGGTTCAGGGATGGACACATGATCCAACTGGACCTTTAGGATCTGTTATGGGATCCTGATTTGCACTGGCAAGAAAGAGCCAAATGAGAAGAGAGGAAGGAGGTCCATTACTTCAGCTGCCATCTTGCCACAGGATAGAAAGCCAAGGCAGGAAACCACTGCTGAGAAATGGAGACTGAGCCATTATGGCATTGTATCAGCCCCTGGATCCAGCTGTGCCTGAAGCAGTCCTGGACATTTCATGTACAGGAGGCAATAAATTCCCTTTTCTGTTCAAGCTGGCTTGAGCTGGTTTTCTATCATTTGCGATTCAAAGAATCCTGACCAATGCAGTGACTAAAAAGCTTCTTTCTCATTTCTTTGGCAGGAATTTTCAAAACACTTCAAAATTTAAAGCAGTTTGTTTCTAAGATAGTTCCACAAGGCTGGGTTTGCTCAAACCAATATTCAACAGGATAGCTACAAGAGGGTAGGGATGGGGTGGAAATGGGTGTGCCCCTCAACAATACCAGGCTTTGGTTGTGCCAGAAGCTGATGTTCACTGGTTCACTGAGGTTTCTCACATGTCCATGGCTCAGCTGGGCCCCCAGAACATAGTTATTGAGCAGAGATGAGTTGATGTCTTTCTGGAAGGGCAAGAGAAGAAGGGCTGACTGGAGGGAACACAAGGAGACCCTGGATGAGGTCCAAGAGCCCCCTTCTCCATCCCCTCCTCCCTGGATGAGAGCAAGCAGCATGGCTTTCATGGGCACAGCTGTGCCAACCTCCTAGGCTTTGCACATGCTGCCCCTTCCAGCTGGAGCCCTGTCTCCTCATCACCTCCACCCTCACTTCCCATTTGTTAAATGGATTCCAGCCTTGTACCCTCCACCTCACCCTACCACAACTCACTTTCAAAGTCAAGCTTAAAAGGCACCTCCTCTGCAAGCCCTCCTGGATTGCTCTTTGGGAACCATCCTGACCCCAGCCTGACTCATTCATCCCTTTGAATCTCTATGATTATACTTAGCCTTGAGGTAAAATTGTCTAATTGTTGAAATGGTGAGTTCTCTGAGAACAAAGATCTTGTGACCTTGTCTGCCTCCCGTTTAGGGACAGGAGCACACACAGCAGATTTCTTAAGTCTCGTTTGCACATTATAATGGTGGCTGCCTACTATTCTGCTCAAACGGAGGTCCAGAGAGGGGTGCTGACTGGCTGAGGTTGCACAGAAGGCCAGGAGGAGACATGGATGCCTGCAATGCCCCCAGGAAGAGGCCAGCGCCCACCCTGCATGGCCCACCAGCAGGGGCTGACCTGGAAAAAGCGGCTGCTGGAGAAATAGATACAAATGAGACGAAGCTCCCCAGAGCGGGTCCTGCAGGCATTCCGGGTCAGCTCGGCCGGGAACTGCATGGCGTGTTGAGGCTGGGCCTGCAGAAGGCCAGAGACAGGCTGGGCCCCGTGTCCACAGTCCTCCAGACCCACCACAACACTTCACCATTCCCCACTCCCTTGGGAGCCCTCCCAGCCTTGCCCCCAAGCACTTCCTATCTTGGAGCCTCCACCCACAGAACCCTCTCCTGACAGGCTGCACCTCCACCCAAACTTCCCAAGATCCTAGGCCTTCAACATCAGCACCCAACAGCCAGGCATTAAGCAGGAATCACACCAGCGCCCTCAAAGGGGTCCAGTGCCCCTGGCCTCTCCCGGGGCTACCTCACCCCTCCTGCTGCTGCTGCTGCTGCTGCTAAGTCGCTTCAGTCATGTCCGACTCTGTGCAACCCCATAGAAGGCAGCCCACCAGGCTCCCCTGTCCCTGGGATTCTCCAGGCGAGAATACTGGAGTGGGTTGCCATTTCCTTCTCCAATGCATGAAAGTGAGAAGTGAAAGTGAAGTCACTCAGTCGTGTCCGACTCTTAACGACCTCATGGACTGCAGCCTACCAGGCTCCTCCGTCCATGGGATTTTCCAGGCAAGAGTACTGGAGTGGGGTGCCATTGCCTTCCCCGAGTACCTCACCCCAGGAACCTGCAAAAGCAGGAAATCAACCCTGAATATTCATTGGAAGGACTGATGCTGAAGCTGAAGCTCCAGTACTCTCACCACCTGGTGTGAAGAACTGATTCATTGGAAAAGACCCTGATGCTGGGAAAGCTTGAAGGCAGGAAGAGAAGGGGACGACAGAGGACGAGATGGTTGGATGGCATCACTGACTCAGGGGACATGAGTTTGAGCAAACTCCGGGAGACAGTGAAGGACAGGAAAGCCTGGCGTCCTGCAGTCCGTGGGGTCACAAAGAGTTGGACATGACTGGGCGACTGAACAACAACTCGCAGCTATTAAGGCAGAGTCCAGAGCCCAAACTGGTGGGAAAGCGGGTGATGGACCCTGGGGAAAGTCCAGACCTTCAACCCCTGGAGCATTTCTGGGGTAGAGTTTCTGGGTACCCTCAATCCCTGGGCATCTCTGACCTGGGGGACCTTCTCCAGAACGGCACTGCTCAGAGAGAGACCAGCGAAGTTGCAGTTCAGCTTGAAGGCCAGTGCCTGGATGGTGTGCGTCTGCAAGGTGAGGTTGTGGCCGGTGAAGCTGGCATTGAGCAGCTCCGACTCTAGGCCGTGAACGAGGCTGAAGGTGAGAGAGACAGCCAGAGCCCCGGGATAAGGATGGAGGCAGGAGGAACCCTCCACAGCCTCCCCCATCCCACACCCCTATCACTCCTACCTCCAAACATCTGCACACACAGTGTTCCTGGCACACCCTTACCTCCCCACCCCACCCATCTCCTTCTCCCAGTAACTCTTTCTTGGGTCCCAGTTTATTGGCACCTCCTCCAGGAAGTCTTGCCTGGCTGCTCCCCACTGGCTACAGTGCCCCGCAGTCCCTACACTTCTCTGTTAAGTCATCAGAATTGGCCTGTCACTCTGAGCACCTAGGGTTTTTAGCCCGAGACCTGGGAGAGCCCAGACCACTCTTGGAGCCCCTTCCCAGAAAAATGCACAGAGACCCATGATTCTGCACTGGTTTCATGGCACCCACGGCTAAGGGCTCCCAACCAGACAGCAAACTCAATGAGAACAGGGGTGCGTCCATCCCACATCTCCAGAGCGTGGTGCTGGGCACACGGTAGGTACTCAGTAAATGAGTGTTGAATAAATGAATGAGCAGTTTACACTGGAGAGTCCCTGGGCCACCGAGTCAAAATACAGGCTGGGGGTGGAGGCACAGCAGACTCAGGCGAGGAGGGACGCCTGACTCACTCAGCATGAGGTGTGCTGCTCCTGCCCCTGGTTACCGCCTCCATTCTCTCCATCCATTTCAGGGTCGTCTGGGACGCCTCTGCGAGGAGCGAATCCAACAACCGCCTCAGCCTCTGTCCGCAGCTGTCCCCTGCACCTTCCCCCACCCCCTGGCCATCCCATGGCCTCTGGCTCTTCTGCCCCAGGCTGCTGCCCCAGGGTGGAAGGGCCCTCTTTTCAACCTCCCTTGGTTTGAGGCCACCCCCGCTTCACATCAAAGTCAGGGGTCCGGGCTGGGATGGCTCTTGCAGCTCAGGGAAGCCCTCTTACCTGCCGTCCTGCTCTGAGACGCCAAGAGGCACAGGCAGAGGAAAGGGGCCCAGCAGCAATCCATGTCTTGTATCAATTCTCCTCCAGGAACTGGCTCCCACCCTGGAAAATGTGCATGCCTCTGGGAAGGCATCTGGCCTGTCCCTAGATTAATAGGGCAGCATCTTACCTGATCCTCACACTCCTGCATTCCACAGACGCGGAAACCACAGCTCACAGAGCAAGGGGCTTGCTTCGAGTGAGGCTGCCTGAATCCAGATCTCCCTGAAACCCGAATCCTGGACCATTTTTGCCAAACCCTGCCATTTGCAGCTCTGTCTGAGTCACTCCCTCCTCCCCAAAAATGGTCTCTCTGGGGGCCTCCCCAGAACTCTGACCTCACCAATGGGAAAGTTGGGAGTTGCTTGTCATTAACCCTGTCCACCCTGTCATTCACCCACCGTGTGACTTTGAGCAAGAATCTGTCCCTCTCTGATGAAACTGCCAGCAGCAGCTGCTGTGGGGAATTGGAAAGTTAGAAGGGAAAAAACAAGAATGAATAGTTTTGGGAGAAGGATAGTTTTGATGATAATCATGGATGGTCAGAGGCCACCAAGAACCATGACAGCTGGAGGACAACAGGAAAACCACTTCCTTTGTCCACAAAGAATTCCCCCAATGCCCATTTTAAAGTAGAATGTGATTCAAACATATTGTTAAGTACTATATTCAACATTTGCTTTGAAACCTCATCTTCTTTTCACCTATTTTTGTGACTGCCAGAAACCACAGCAGCTGCTAGTTATGAATTAAGATGTCAGGCTCAAATTTGTGAAAATAAATCCAATGATTTGTTTTTTTTTAAGGGATCCTGCCCCTTTCTGCCGTAAGCTCCCTTGGTTTTAAAATGAACGGACCAATTTCTGCCTAAACATAGCAAATTTATGTCTGCCCCTGAAACTCCACTAAAAAGAGACTGAATGGGACATCCCTGGTGGTCCAGTGGTTGAGACTCTGTGCTTCCAATGCAGGGGACGTGAATTCAATCCCTGGTTGGGAACTAAGATCCCACATGTTGTATAGTGAGGCCAAACATTTTTTTTTAATTAAGAAGAAAGAAATTTCTAAAAACTAAAAAAATAAAATGAGAATGAATGAATAAAACAGACACAAAGCCACAAAAGACAGAACAATGGGACAGAAGACAACAGCAGATGAGAAATATCAGTAAAACTTGGGCGGTTTCAAAGCAGGTGGCCACCTTGTTTTAAAAAAATAAAAGCAGACCATGACATGTTGAACCCGAGTGCTTGCGTCAGGGAGAAGTGAGTACAGGGGGTGTGGGATCAGTGAGGGGCAGGGAGAAGGCAGAGGGGTCAAGCCTTACAACCAGGGGGGCACTTAGGAACTAGAGGCTTTGGAATCTCTGAAGGCAGGATGGAAGGTGAGGCTAAAAATGGGGGGTGGTGGGTTTGTTGTTGTGAGTCTTTAAAATGACCGGCTGAGTCTCCATACCTCCTCTGAGACCAGAAACACCCAAGAGCCTTCCTCACCACCCTCCCCTCCCCAACCCTGTCACAGCTCAAAGTCCATTCCGGGGAGACAGTGCACCAGAGAGAAGCGGAAGGGTCCCATCTGTGGGTGCCATTCTGGTACAGCAAAGTGAAGCCATGTCCCCTCTCCACCGCCTCCTCCAGTCAGCCTCCGGAAGACTGCAGCAGCCAGGCAATGGTGCTCCAAGGCAGGAGAAAACTTTTCTCTGAAGAACCAATCATGCCAAGAAAATTATCCTCTAGTTACTGACATTTTGGTGCTCCTTAATAAAGTGGCCAAGACCAAACTTAAGGTGAAGCTTCACCAGTCACCAAGCCCTACCAGGCAATTAAGTTTTTCATGCTCAACCAAGGATCCCTAGGTATTTTTAAATATACACCTTTCTCAGGAAGCTGCTGGAGGATGTGCTCCAACAAAATGAGAGAGTAAATCATGAAAGAACATATAGGGTACAGGAAAACCACCAGAAGAGACGTGAAGCTACTCCCTAGAAAATGCATGAAGAGAAGGCCCAGGCTGATGGCTGGACAGCTGGCCTAGGGCACATCCTGTCCAGAAGGAAGCAGAAGACAGTAAGTTTCCATGAGGGAGGTCTCAATGTGTAAAAGAAAGAGGCGAATATACAGATTGTCTGACAGGTCTGAATACATAGGAAAATTATTTTGAGAAATGTCTTACAGAAAGCTTGCAAATGAAAAATAAAAAAGAAGCAATTAACTTCAGGAAAACCAAGTTGTACAGGAAAGGAAACGTAATCTTGCTACACAAATTGACATAAAGTATAAGATGTTTAAAGCATTATAAAAACATTTTTTTTTTTTTTGGCTGTGTCACTCTGCATGCCGGATCTTAGTTCCCTGACCAGGGATTGAACCCCAGGCCCTGGCAGGGAAAAATGCCAAGTCTTAACCACTGAACTGCCAGGGAATTCCCTATATTTTAAAAATTGTATAAAAACCATATAAAAAATGATTTTGACATCCATTTATGATGTAGAGAGCCACAAGAGAACATCACTCCCATCTTGACAGTGGAAAAAGCCAAATGATGTACAAAACTAGTTTTTTGAGCCTGTTAGAGAACTGAAATCACAAAACAATCAGATAAACTGGTTTCCAATGGTTGATAAGCCCTTCAAGGATGAGGTGTGGTTGCCAAAAAAGCAGATGAGAACAACTGATACCATAATGGGTTCTTTTTTTAACTTTTTATTTTACATTGGAGTATCGCCAATTAACAGTGTTGTGATAAATTCAGGTGGACAGCAAAGGGACTTAGCTATACACATACATGTATCCATTCTCCCCTAAACTTCCCTCCCATCCAGGCTGCCACATAACACTGTATAGTGTTATGTGCTATACAGTAGGTCCTTATTGGCTATCCATTTTATTTTTTTAATCACTCAGAAACATTGTTTAATAATATTCTTATCAAAATAAAACTTACAGAAAAGTTCACAAACCATGCATCTTGGTGAATTGTCACTTGGGTTTCCTGGTAGCTCAGGCAGTAAAGAATCTGCCTGCAATGCAGGAAACCTAGGCTCGGTCTTTGGGTCAGGAAGATCCTCTGGAGAAGGGAAGGGAAACCCACTCCAGTATTCTCGCCTAGAGAATTTCATGGACAGAGGAGCCTCGCGGGCTACAGTCCATGGGGTCGCAAAAAGTTGGACACGATTGAGCAGTTAACACACTTTATCCATTTCAAATATAGCAGTGTGTACGTGTCCATCTCAAACTCCCTAACTAGCCCTTCACCCCTTCCTTCCCCGCTGGTAACCACAAGTTTGTTCCCTAACCTGTGAGTCTGTTTCTGGTTTGTAAGTAAGTTCATTTGTATAATTTCTTTTTAGATTCTGAATATAAGGGATATCATGTGATCTTAGTGGATTGTTAAAGGCTGAGAATGAATGAGAATGAGAGTTTAAAACCCCTGAGAGCCCCAGACACAAGGGGAGTCTGTATCCACTTGACCATTTCTCCCCAGTCCTCTGTGGGTGCTCATGAGAATGGCTGGGGGTGGGGCAGGGATCTGAGAGACCCCCTGTGGTGACACGGGCATGCTGAGTTCTGAGGGTGAAGCCTGGATGAGCTCCAGGCCATGTGTGAGTACGCGATGTTGACTGGCTGCTGCGAGAGACCGACATCTGCGCCCTGGCCTTGCCGTGATGAGACCCTCATCCACAGGTCCCTGACTTGTTATAAGGAAAAGATCTACTGCCTCTAACGGAGAAGTGAAAAAAAAAAAAACCCAATAGGAGACTTCTCTGGTGGTCCAGTGGTTAAGACTTCACACTTTCAATGCAGGGGGCACAAGTTTGACCCCTGGTCAGGAAAGTAAGATTCCACATGCAGCATAGTGTAGCCAAATAAAACCCACCTACCCCAGACCCTGCACTGACGCTAAGCGAAAGCTACCTGCTGCTGGCGTGGAGGGGCCAAACCCACTAGAGCCCAGGATTTTGCACTGTTATAAAACAAGGGACTGCTGCTGCTGCGAGAAAGGCAGGAATTTCATTCACGCCTAAGACCCCTCCACCAATACATGGCAGGGTTTGGGCTCCATGAGGGTGAAGGAGAAGTCAGTAAGAGGCAGAAGTTGCCAGTCACTGAACAAGAAACAGGAAAGCTAAGAAAGCCCCAGTCATGGGGCTCAGGCACAAGGCTACCTAAGACTGAAACTCAGAGCAAGAGAACCAGAAATCTACTGCTTCCATCAAAAATTTTGCACCAAGTAATCAGCAACAGCTGTCTACCACTGGCAAAGGGGCCAGAACACAAAGAAAGATTCCCTCTGTGTTGCATGCATGCAAGGATGAGAGTAGGATTACTGAGAAAATCCACATGGGACTGAAGGGCTCACACTAAGCACAGAGTAATGTCCGTCCATCACTGGAGAAATGTGATGCTTGTGCTGCAGAGAAGGTACCTGCAACAACAAAACTGTAGCCCAAATCGACCACAGACTAGACTGACTCAATGAATGCCCTCTCCTTAAGCCATGACATAAGAAAGACACCCACTTCTAGGCATCATTATCATTTACCTCACTACTGTGCTTTCACACAATGTCTTGGTATTCAGTCAAAGCTTACAACACACACATAAAATCAAGAAAAAAGGAAATACTTTTGTCAAAAGATAAAAGAGACAAGAGAAGTAGCGTCAGAGATGACCAAAATGTTAAAACTATCAGATAGGGACTTAAAGATACATGAGTATGGGAAAGCAGGTGGTGGAAAGGTATGCTCCTAAGGACAGACAGGATATTTCAGGAGAGCAATGGAAACTATTAAGGAGAGTCAGGTAGAAATGAAATACTCAATATCATTGATAAAGAATTTCTTCAATTGTGGAGTGAAAAAAGGTGTAAGTGTTAGTTGCTCAGTTGTGTCCGACTCTTTGTGACCTCATGGACTGTAGCCTGCCAGGCTCCTCTGTCCGTGGAATTCTCCAGGCAAGAATTCTGGAGTGGACTGCCATTCCCATTTGCAGGGGGTCTTCCCAACCCAGGGATGGAACCCAGGTC